GAATTGAATCTGAAATTGATATGTGCACCAGTTTTGGCCATTCCTGAAGGGACTAAAGGTTTTGTTATCTTTAGTGTTGCATCAAATTAAGGTTTGGGATGTGTACTGATGCAACATGAAAACGTGATTACATATGCCTCTAGACAGTAGAAGCCACATGGGCAGAAGAATATTGAACATATTGCTCTTAAAAAGGTAATAATAAAATATAACGTGTTCTCAAAATAGTACATTTTTCGAAGAATTATATTTCGTTGTTTTCATGAAGTACACAAACTAAATAATTCAATACTTATTGTAATTTTTTAAAGGAAAATAAGTTTTATCTACGGAAAATAAGTTTTATTTAAGAAGAATATTAGTTTATCGCTCCAGAACAGCATACAATTCAATATTTCAATATTCTCAAAGAATATCATATTAGTGCTTCTGAAAAAATATAAATCTTGAAATACTAATAAGATTTAGGATGGATTATGAAGATATTTGTTCAGCCATTAGTGCAAATGTGCACACAATTCTTTAAGATAAAAGTACTCAAAATTTAACATTAGCAGAAAACAATGTTAATACGATGTCAAGTGCATCGAATATTGTTAAAGGCTTCGGAAGAACTTATATTATTTTACCAAATAATACAAAATTATATATTAAATATGCACTTCATTCTAGCTAATTCAGAAGAAATTTGCTTAGTTTTAAAGATATCCGCTGCAATGGATATCACATTCAGACGGTGGAAGAAAATAATGTTGAATATCTTTGCATTTCTTTTGTATTTGGTCAGAAGCAAATACAAAAAAAAATTTCACTTACTTCCATCGGCATGTATTATACATTTATAAAATGGTTGAATCAAATATTATCACGAACCAGAAGTTCATTGATCTAAACAATTTTGTACTTTGACATGATTGACTTGGACATTCAGGAGGTATAATGATGCGTCGAATAATAAACAACTCACATAGATATCCTTTAAAGAACCAAAAGTTTCTTTTATCTAATGATTAGACCTTCAATTACAAAGATCAATATTAAGTCTCCAACTTTTTTTTTGGAAAGAATTCATGGAGACATATGTGACACACCTACCATATGGAACATTTCGTTATTTTATGGTATTAATTGATTTTTCTACTAGATGGTCACATGTTTGCCTACTTTCCACTAGGAATGTCAATGTGGGTTTTGCTAGATTATTTGCTCAAATCATAAAATTATGAGCATAATGCTCAGATTACTCAATCAAGACTATTCGTCTTGACAATGCTGGTGAATTTGTACAAGCATTTGATGATTATGCATGTCAATTGAGATTGTTATTAAACATTAAGTTGCACATGTTCATACACAAAATGGTTTAACAGAGTCATTTATTAAACGGTTGCAACTTATTGCTAGACCATTACTCATGAAAACAAAACTCCCAACTTCTGTTTAGGGTCATGCCATATTACATGCTGCATCATTGGTTTGTATTAGACCAACTGCATATTATCAATTTTCACATTTGCAATGGCATTTGGTTATGAACCTAATATTTCTCACCTTTGGGTTCTTGGTTGTGCTGTTCGAGTCCCTATTTTACGTCTATAACGTACTAAAACATGTCTTCAACGAAGACTTGGGATTTATGTAGGTTTTGATTTACCATGTACTATTATGTATCTTGAACCTTTAACGTGTGATTTATTTAATGCACGTTCTGCAGATTGTCATTATGATGAAATGACTTTCTCAACTTTAAGAGGGAAATCATCCTGACAAACAGGGTACAATTTTTTGGAATGAAACAATTTTATCTCACTTTGACCTTCGCAACAATCAATGTGAGCAGGAAGTTGAAAAAAATCATTCATTTGCAAAGNATCTCACTTTGATCTCCACATCAATTAATGTGAGTAAGAGATTGAAAAAATCATTTATTTGCATAGTGTTGCAAATCAATTATCAGATATATTTGTGGGCACAAGAAAAGTGACAAAGTCATTTATATCGGTAGAAAATATTTCAGTTAAAATTGATGTTCTACAAAACAATTTGTTGTAGCAAATAAATTTCAAATACGCCAGACACATGGTCGACTAGTTAGTTCAGAAGACTCTGTACCTCACAAAATAAAATTACAAGAGAAAAACCAACCAAAAACTTCAAAAGAAGTAATATTAGAAAAAAATTGTTCAATCAATTTTAGATTCCTAATCAGTTTAACGGTGTCACAAAAGCTCGATACGCGCCTTATGGATGTAGTGATTGCCTATTCGTATGGTTATATGAAAGTCCTTGAAGGATTTAAAGTGTTAGAAACAAATGATACATGTCTGAAAACAATGTTCTCAATTAAATTGCAAAGATCATTATATGGATTGAAACATTCCGGACACATGTGGTATAATCGTCTTAGCGAATATTTGTTGAAAGAATGATATAAAAATGATGATGTCTACCAATGAGTTTTCATAAAGAAAACAAATATTGGATTTGCAATTGTGATAGTTTATGTTGATGATTTAAATTTAGTTAGAATTTTTGAAGAGCTCAACAAAACTGTAAATTACTTAAAAATGAACTTGAGAAAAACCAAATTATGTCTCAGGTTACATATTGAACATTATTTAGAAGAATTATTTGTTCACCAATGTAATATACAGAATAATGCACATCAATTGACATACATGTGGTTGTTCGATCACTTAATGTGAAAAATGATTATTTTTCGTCCATTTGAAGATGGAGAAAAGGTTATTGGTTATGAAGTATTATATCTTAGTGTAATTGGAGCATTAACTTATGTTGCAAACTGTACTCGACCCTACATAACTTTTTCTGTAAATATTCTTGCAAGATATAGCTCTACACCATCATAAAGATATTGGAATGGTGTTAAACATATTTTTCATTACCTAAAGTATACTATTGGTTTGAAATTATTTTATTCTCAAAAGTCGGGATCTGCTTTAGTGGAATATGCATATGCATGTTATCTCACTGACCCACATAAAGCTGAATCACAAATAGTATGCGTATTTACACGTAAAAGAACAACTATATCATGGAGATATGTGAAGCAATCATTGACAACAACATCCTCAAATCAATCTGAAATTATTGCAATTCATGAAGTAAGCTGATGATGTTTGTGGTTGAAGAATATGACCCATCATATCCAAACACCTGCGGATTAATTTCACTAAAAGATAGTCCAACAATTTTGTATGAAAACAATGATGCTTATATTGTGTAACACTCTTAAAATTTTAGAATAAAAATTTATTTGTTCTATATATATATATATTATTTTGAAGTTGAGGGATTGAAGTAATTTATGTATTAATTTCAAATTTTGGGCTAAATTTTTAGATATTGTTAAAGCGACTAAAAGTATATCAATATGAGTCTCGTTGGATAGCTCCTAATTAATTATGTAAATTAAGCTCGAGAAAAAGTAAATTCAGATAAGTAAGTCTCAAGATTTGAAGTCGATTGGAGCTGTGGAGGGATGGTGTAACAGACTGTCAAGGGATTTCGACATACGAAAATATTAAGTTTTACTTTTTTTAAATTTAGTAGTTTGTTATGTTCAATAACATTAATGTTGAATTTATTAATTGAGAATGTTTAAATATTTTTTTAAGACACAATTTTATGATTCAAATTTAACTTATGGATGTTCTAATAATTTGTGTATTAAAGAATGTTATCGTTCCGCATTTTAAGTAAATAAAAGTAAATGAAATTAATTTCTTGTAACATTTCAAGATGTATGAAAATTTGGGACGTTACAGACGCTTAGCATAAGTAGGGGAAAATTTGGTCTGCTTTGCTAAACATTTGTTNAACTTATGGATGTTCCAATATTTTGTTTATTAAATAATTTTATCGTACCACATTTTAAGTAAATAAAAGTAAATGAAATTAATTTTCTTGATAACACTTCAAGATGTATGAAATTTTGGGGTGTTACATATTGTACAACTCAAAAGAGGTTATATCAAAAGTGAAATGAAGAAGTATATTTCTCTAAAATTCTATCATACACATGAGTTTCAGAAGAATGT